ATAGATGAAAGATTCTTCAATTCCAACCTAGTTGAGGACCCACTGTTTTGGGATTGCGTAGGCCAACAAGTTTGTGAATGTCTGAATATTGTCAGCAGGAGTAAGATAGACTCGAAATCCGGTAATACTTACGTTATAAAAACGATGTTGCACCCCCAACATATCAGATTGAATTGATTCCACCCAAACTTGTCAGATAAATAGGCGTCATATGGAATTGATACTGTGTAGTATTGACTTGAGCGAAAATACCGATGCTAGTTTGATAAGGGTAAAATTCACTTGCTGGCACTTGACCTAGACAGATAGCATGAGATTGCATTGAGCGTCTAATGAGTGCATCTATTTGATCTTGCTGTGCATCCAACCGTTGGATGAGAGCAGCCAATTTTGATTTAAGAGAATGGCGATCATTCGATCCTAAATGACTTCGACTGTTAGCCTGAAAAAAAGACAGCGAGCAAGAGTATGAATCGGGAGGCAAAAGCCATCAACAAAGCTTAATATAATAACAAAATAGCACTTAAATGTCGCTTTATCTATTTTTCATTTTCTCGCGGATTAGTCTCATGTTTCATTGCAGCATTTCTTTGAATACTCATGTCAACAGTTTGTTCTATTCACGTGCTGTTCAATGATAATACAGTACCAAGATTATATCTGTTGCACTTTCGCCACATTACTATCAATGGATGATGCTTCTAACAAACATTCTCTCAACCGAATAAACACATAATCTCAATCCTCATAGGTACTCACACCGTCAAGTTCGACTAATTCTAATTCCTAGGATTGTTCGGCCTGATTACAACTGAAATTAGAATTGGTCAAACTGGTATTGGTTAGGGATGGGAAGTTACCTTTAAACAGGCACCTACTTTGGGTGTGGGTGTGGGTGTAGGCCTTTATCTTCTCTTCACTCACACCCTACTCAAAATAATACTGGATGTGTGCTCGGAATTATATTGGCAATAGCCGTAATGAACTACAAATTTTATTGAGAGTAGAAATTACATAAGAGCCAGATCGGTCGGACCCGACACTGATTAAGCAAAGCTTGATTCGGACCGGGCAAGCCTAACGCTTTTCTATGCCATTCTGGACTTGGCCAAGCCATGAAAAAGTGGCTGGTTTCGGGTCTTACTAGACATTGGAATCATTGCTTGCTTCTGCTTTTTTCTTATAAGGTTTTTTTTAATTATTTTGAATATGCTGACGAAAAGAATGCCAAGATGGTGGGCGCAAGTTCACTTTAAAGACACAGGTCTTTCATTCCTACTCAGCGTTGTATATGGATATATTACACCAATGACTGCAAAGTATATGATTAAAATGAACATTGAATGACATAAAACAAAACTTATCTCTTTACTTTTAAATTTTAACTAAATGTTATTTCAAAACTTCAGGTTAGTATTATGCATTAAAAAACGAAAAGAAAAGATTTGAATATATGCATGTCTACTTCCTATATTTCACAACTCTTGTCTTTTTTGTTACTGACCTAAGAAAATAATATGCAGTTGAAATCATTGAAATACAGAATAAAAATAGCAGTAAAAGCTTTTCTAATCTAATGATGTATCAGAGAAAAATCTCTATAGTGGTTTGCTGAAAAATCAATGAGTTTCTGATACCAATGAAGACTATAAAGCAAGAATTTTATTTTGATTACTTTGTGTTTTCAAATGATGTAATATTTCAATGTCTGTGTGTATCAAACATCATCATCTATTTAAATGAATCTTATTGATATCAAATAACAACTACAAAATGATATTAATATATTTCTTTTTTTATCATACCAATAGATCGAAAAAACAAGAAAAGCCTCATGATGTCTGATATACATAGACATTGAAATATTACATTATTTGAAATAAAAAAATAAAAAGAAAACTACAAAAATAAAATTCTTGCAGTTTCGTCTTCAGCGACATTAGAAACTCATTGTGCTTTTTCTAATCTAAACTAGTTAAAGGTTTTTTTAACACATAATTTCATTTCATGAACATTACTCTTCATGTCAATAGAGATATATGTTATAACGATTCCAAAATAAAAACTGATGGTTTTCATTTAGATTAGAAGTTATGACTAAAAAAACAGCATAATATTGGAAATATAAGTGCTTCAGTGAATTTTCTAATAGTTTCATTCGAATTTTCCAAAAAATAATAGATTAGTTTTTTACAACTCCTTTGAGCAGCCTTTATTAGATATAATAACACTTTTAAAGATATTCCTGTCATAGTGATCAATAAAAAAAGACGCCTTTGATTTGTCAATTTAAATGTCATAACATTATTGACAATTGTTCAAGAATTCATCCACAACTCGTATTTCAATATGATATTGATAACTATTAAAGACAGCAAACCTATTGTCCATGTAATATTACTCTCATTTAATTTATCGTAATGAGAAATATTTGGTGCAAGAATATTTCAATAGTTTCAAAAAGTAAGTATATTGACATTTTTATTATTATTCATACGATTATGGAATATAGAAAGCGAAAAAGTCCAAAAACAGATCATTTGATGTTTGTATCTACAGCATGAAAAATTGCACATGCATCCATAAGAAAAATTTTTAGTGATGAAGAAACACAGCTTACTAATGCTTGTTTCAAAAAAAAAAGGCGGGTGAGTATTTTTTTTGAATAACTTTTGAATAGATTTAGCTAGAGAATTGAGGTTTTGACCATTAGAAAGAAAAGATACAGACTCATCGAACCATACATGAAAAAATTTTTCTAACTACTTTCCTAACAGTTTTAGTCAAACGTTCTCAAAAAATTGCTTTTTTTCATACGTTAAAAAAGGTGATTTTTCGTCCAAAAAACTACAAAAACTTAAATTTTTCGATTATTTTGTTGAAAAAATTGAGTAATAAATTGCAATCCAATAGTTAGTATATCTTGCTGGTAGTGGCTAGGAATAGAATTTTTATATAGTTTTGTAGCTCTTCATCTGGTGGTTCTAACACACTCCTGAAAACCAATAAATTAATATTGCGACTATGACACGCATGCTGCTTTTCTAGAAGTTTTATATAAAACTGTTACGAAAGTAGTTAGAAAAATGTTTTCATCTATGGTTCGATGCGTCTTTATCTTCTCTTCCCAATGGTTAAAACCGCAACTCTCTAGTTCAATCTGTTCAAAAGTTATTCCAAAAATGTCCACTTGACTTTTTTCTAAATGGGCATTAGTAAGTTTTTAATTCTTATGCTGATTTTTCTTGCTGTTGTTGATAGCCATAATCAAGTTGTTGACTCTGCTCATGTTGTTGTTGAGCGTCTCGTGTGCGCTTTAATTCTGTAAAAAGTATTTGTAGTTTTTCTTTTATAGAGAATCAGAGGACATTAGACAGACAGATGGTAGAATTTCTCGGCCTGTTCATCAGTTTTCTCGAAAGCGAAAATGTGCATACAACTTGAGTATGATTTTATTCCATAGCGCATCAAAATTGTTCATACACTTAATATTCAAAAACTTTTTTAATTCTAAATCACCTATATTTCGAACTTTTTTTTCATCGTCTGATCTTCTCTCACTATCTGCTATATCTGGATAGTCATTGAGCAAAAAGAATTTTCTATAGCTCCATGACATTTGAACCAAATGAGCTAATTTTTCTTTCCTCATAATAGTGAAGGGCTCCAAATGCTTTTTGCCAAATATAAACGATAGATTTTTGGTTTTTTTAATATGATTCGAGTTTAGAGGTGAGAAAGTTATTGTTATTTTTTTTTGTTATTAATAACAATAACATTAACTTTCTCACCCCTATTCGAGTTCCTCATGTTCTTAATTTTTTTCAATTGGTTAAATAATTTATTTACGATATTTGACTTTTTGCTTAGCCTATCTAGATTATCTAAAACTCCACAGAACGTTTTCAGCTGTTTTTAAACAAGAAACCGCTCAAAAATCCAGTCGACTACAGTGAGCTTGTGATAGATTACATCCATGAGTAATCAATTGCAACGATACATAGGTATCGAAAAAATCTTTGTATATTCCATTTTATAGAGTTTATTATGCTAATCATTTTTTGTAAAGGAAAATTCTATTTTGATCTACAAATAATGGTGTTACAGTTCAATTACTGGAACATCGAGTTGCTCAGGATCACAGGACGATTTGATGTTTTCCGCTGATTTGAAGCCCGCAATTTTATTTGCTGATAAAAATAGAAATATTTTTACAAGAATAATCAGAGAAGCAAGCTATATAAAATGAGATATGTCAACAAATTTTTGGATACGTTTTTCGTTTTTTATTGTTGTGATTACTTATGAGAATAGCTGGTAAAAACGGGTGATCGGCGTGTGGGTGTGATAACGATGTTGGTCTCAACCAAATCCACACCCTCTTTTTGTCAAGAAAAAAAATGTAGGAGTGAATATTATATAATCGCTATAGTTTCGTCTTTTCTTGCAATTGGAAGTTGGATGAATAGTGTTAGCGAATTGTGTTCACAATACTGAGAATCAAATCTTTTTTTTGCAAAACTATTTTTTCACTTTCTTGTACTCATGGAAGTGCGAGTGTAGGTATGCATGCGCTTGTTGATCTTTTCTGCGGCATCATCCTCACCCATATCCACACCCTGAATCGCTTGAAGAGATTTATTTTTCCTCTTATCATATGGTGAACATTATAACAATTCTGTAAGCCATCTAGTAGTTTAAATATCTAGTCGAGTCATTTACACAATTGGCGACAATATCCACAGTGAAGTGCATTAGTGTCGTGCTTGGTGATTTGCCGACATTTTCACAATATATCTCTTTCATCGGCTTGTGCAATAACATAAAATACATGACATGACATGTGCAGAATTGTAAAGAAAAAAGTCAACAGCATTGGCCTACTTACTTTTTTCTCTTTTTCTTTCTCTCAAACACTAGATACTTGAATATTAGTCATCATAAAAACGATAAAATGAATATATTTGTAAATTAATTAGAAAATTATTGATTACTTTCAGATGAAACAAACGACTACATCTACTCGATCTATGTCACCATTTAACGGTAAATCGATCGTCCTCGAACTTGGCCATGAAATAGGCTTCAAGGCTAAACAAGAACTGATCAACTATTTACGAGAACAGAAAGCATATATTTCATATATTCTTACAGCTAGTGTACGGTCTATATCTATTTCACAAGTATTCTGTTGAAGTTGACTGCTGTTTTTTTGTAGACTGACTTCGTTTTGGTTACCAATAATGTAGACAGCTACAAAACACGCCGTGCCAAACAGCTCGGCTTGCCATTAGTCAATGTTGAATATGTGTACGAGTGTCGTCGTTTGTCACCTGGTCAAACATTGGTTGATATTAGCAAATTTATTATCAAGTCAGTTGAAGACCAGGAAAATTTTACAAAGACTGGTACTATTTCCGTCACAGGTATTACAAGATTTCTTTTTTTTTTTTTTTTTGAAAAATCATATCAGGCGTACCTATTTGTTAGGATCCCGAGCAAATACGACCAAAAATAATAAAGTCGATTTGACTAAAATCAAGATATGGAATTCAGACGATGTTGATTTGCCTCGTTTCGATGAATTAACACATTGTGAAATTGGCAAATGGGCAATTTTTAAAGTACAGTTTTATTCATATACTATAACAATTGTTCTTTTATAACTCCACTGTTTGTAACAGGAAACTAATGATAATTCAGATGTATTTTTTGTTCTTGAACTCCAAGTTATTCCTGAAACATACTACGATCAAACAACAAGCGATTATCGACTACGATTTCGATATGAAAAACAAATTATTGTTGGTGAAAGTCAAAAACAAGATAAAAAAGTCTTGATACAATATGCGTTTGGCAATGATCCAAACGAACAGCTACAATTATTTACATCATACTATTATCGTGTAGCTACAATGCCACGTGTAACACGAATTCGTGAGATGTTACCGGATAAATTAGGATCCAAACTATTATTACGTGTAAGTCAATAATGCTAAAGAAACGAAAGTATTTTCCAAAAACAAAGATACATTTGTAGTCTTTATTTACCCATCGTATCGATACACAAATACTCGATGAGAATGTATGTCAATTGATCGAATCGATTTGGCTAGAGTCAATAGGTGATCTAAATAAAATTTTGAGCGTACAACCTGAATCAATCAATCTTAAAACAGTATACATATTCATTTTGATACATTCAAATTATAGATATTGTCTCATATTAATAAATAGATCATTGAAGCCGAAGCTGCCCTACTCGAACTTAAATTGACCAATGATCCAGCTGCAGCACTTCGTTTCTATTCACTTATTCCTCATCGACCAGAGTATAATGTTGATCTCATAAAGAATCGTCGAACATTGACCGACAAGATAGATTTATGCCAAGTATGTCTATTTCATTCAAATATTTCATTTAATCTTCTTTATCATTCAGATGCTTCGAGATATGCTAACAGTCAACGAACTAACTAATTGGAATGTTAAAGCACCGATTGAAGCTAAATATCGAGCATTAAAATGTCACATTGAAGCGGTAGATAGTTCAAAATCTGAATTTAAGAATGTTGCTGATCTCATTCAATCGTCAACGGACAGGTAATAAGAAGTGAAGTTCGATTTCATAATGATAATTTGGTTTTGACTCACTAGTGATGAAAAAATTATTATTCACCATGTCTTCAGTGTAGCCAAACAAACAGATGCACTCAATTATTGTACATCACTATCTCATCAACGGCAACTATTTCATGGATCGAAATATGCTAATTTTCTTGGAATTCTGTCACGGTAAAATATTATTTCTTCATTCTCTAGACAGCATTTATAGTACGATCATATACCTTTAGTGGTTTGGCTATGCCAAAAATGGTTGTTGAAGAATTAGGTGTCGTACGTACTGATATTGGTTGTCTCGGTTATGGGATTTATTTTTCTGATTCTGCTTCTACATCTCTGAAATATACAACAGCAAGTACAACACGACCAGGTCGAAGATTATTGTGCATCTGTCAAGTAGCACTAGGCGAATCGGCTAATTATTATTCATTTTCACCGACTCTTACTAAACCTCCCAATGGTTTTCATAGTGCCCATGGAGTTAAGCGAACGGAGGAAAATCATTCAATGTTTACTGTAAGTAGTTTGTGTTCTGTCAACAGGATCATAACTGCATCGCTGAGTAATAGAAAAATGTGCAGCAGCGACAGAGAACACTGTGTGATAGTGTTCGACTCGGATGAGATCACGAAAAAGACATTTGGATCTTGAAGTGGATCTGCAGTTTAGACATTTTCCAGATACAAAAGACAGTCTGAATGTTTTGTCCGTTTCGAAGTCCTATCAGATAAAGTAAAAAAGCTTAATCAAACAAAAATTTATATATGGTTCGATCTTTTCTTTCCCTTTCACAGAATTTTCCTTATTGAAATCAAGCAAACAAGAAAAAACTATATCATCTAATCGTTTCGTGTCAATAACAAAATATTGACGAAGCATTAAAAACAAATAGAAATTAAGGACATATTCTTTGTTTCTAATCATGACATGAACGAAAGAAAAAAGGAATTGAGAAATTGCTTCTCTCGAAAAAAGGAGACAAAGTAATGCTATTCATTGCGTAAAATTTTTGTGTTGGATAGAAAAAAAATAGATCATTGTATTCTCTATGTATGCTACAACATGATGACAAATTCTAAAAAAATTTATCAAGTGTTTTGTAGTTTTCAAAGTAGTTAAGTCAGCTGTGAAGAAAATAGCTATTGTTTCAACTCTACAAAATTACCTTCATGTCGGAATCTTTTACCAGAGCTTGCATAGCATCCTTCGTTTATTTAACAATTTCTTGACGTAGATAACGTACAAGTACAATTAATCAAACAAATGTCAGCGTGATAGTGATGACCATCGCTGGTCATATCGCAAAAATATTTTTCTCAGAGATAAAACAGAAAACTCTCAGTCTTCTAATATGTGTAACACGTCATTCTAGAAAACAAGAGTTTCAACTGTCTTCTTGTATTTGAGAAGACAAAAGTGGTCAAAACATCCTGTTCAAGTGAGAAATAGAACCAAAGCCGAGCAATGTATCTCCATGTAAAAAAGTGCAGCTCTTTCTCAAGTCACAAACATTGAGTTGTAGAAAAAAAAATAGAAATTATCAGACTTATACATAATGTGAGATCGAGAATCTTCGATAATGTGTCTCAATTAGGTCTCTGTCAGTTTTATTTCATGGCTAATATGATGGATTTGAAACTCTAATTGAAATTCATCAGAGACCAAATTAAGACTTAACATTGAGGACCATACTATTTCGAATATCTTTAATCACGCCATACAAAAATTTAATCTTTATCAAAATAGGATAACGAATATGCAATCTATCAACTTGACCAACAACGTCTACTCTACATTGTGGAAGTTTCATGGGTACCAAATGATGCTCTCAATATTGAATTAGAACGATTACCGATTGTTCATCATCAACAACATACATTAAAATTGAGTGAACATGGTAATGATAATTTCCATTTTTTGTTAAAATAAAAAATTAGATCAATTTATCTGTTACGTTCTAGTCGAAGTGCCGTTGACAATCGACGATGAAGTCATTGAAGTAGCTGAACAAGACTATGGTTTAATATGTCCTTCGTCAGGAAAACTTGTACCACTTAAATCATTTCATATTCGTGCTCAAATTGTTGATGCTACAGTTGAAGTAATTATACTTATCTTTCTGTTGATATCATACTACATAGTTCATCCTATTGTCTTTTCAACGAAAAGGTTGTTCTTTATCAAGTCTATCATAATACAAGTTCGACACCAATTGAAGCCAAATATGTATTTCCTCTTGATGATAATTCAACTGTATGCGGTTTTGAAGCACATATTAACAATAAAGTTATAAAGGGCATCGTCAAGGAGAAAGAACAAGCTAAAAAAGAATATCGAGAAGCAATTGAAAAGGGTCATGGTGCTTATTTAATGCATCAAGAACAAGCTCAAGTATTCAGTGTAGCTGTTGGCAATCTACCAGCGAACAATGAAGTCATTATCAAGATAACTTATGTTGCTGAATTAGAAATCGAAAATGGTGATATTATTTTTCGCCTTCCAGTCAAAATGGCTTCATGGCAATCAAAACAAGCGATTGAAAGCAAAGATCAATCGATTGTACGAACCATCGATATTATAGATGAAAAAGTCGAATTTAGTTTTAAGGCATCGATTCGAATGCCCTATGAAATAACTAAATTATTCTCGCCAACACATCGTCTTCGTCGAAAATTAACCGACTGTATAGCCATGATCGAACTTGTTGATAACGTTTTAATTGATCGAGATTTCGTTCTTTCGATAACACTCAAAAGTGCTAATCTACCTCGAATATTAAACGAAACATTATCATTGGATGGTGACAGCGAAACAACAACGACAACATCGAACAATGTTGATTCTCAAGCATGTATGCTGACATTTTATCCACGATTCGAAACATTAACAAATTCGTACGAACATATTGAAATTATATTCATTGTTGATGTGTCGAATTCGATGGATGGTACACATGTACAACAAGCTAAACAGTTAGCACATTTGTTTCTTACGAATTTGAAAGCAGGCGACATAAATACATATTTTAATATAGTGACGTTTGGATCAGGTAATTAGATGATCATCTGTAGTACTATTTTATTGTTCACATTTGAACTATTTAGATAATGATGAATGTTTTCCTATTTCAACATCAACTACAAAAGAAAATCTTGATAAAGCTAAACACTTTGTTTTGGTTGGTTGTTTATTTTGAATGCAATTTTTTCTTTCAAAAATTTATGTGTTTACATATTGTAGCATTCACTTGTTCATCGTGGTAACACGAATCTATTTGCTGTTCTTCACCGTTATGCATTGTTACCATCATCAAATTTTGGTCGACAATTTATTATTCTCTCTGATGGACATATTCATGATCTTCAATCGATTCTTGTTTTACTCGAACATCAATCAACTATGCGTCGAGATCGTATATTTGCATGTTCAATTGGTAATGTTGGTAACAAACATAGTTTGAAACAATTAGCAAATGGAGCAAGTGGAGGTGGTCTAACAATCGTATTCGATTCGAATTATCGATCGAAATGGAAAACAAAAGTATTAAATATTCTCGAACAAGTTCGACAACCATGTGTTACAAGTATATCAATTGATTGGCATGGTCGTTTTGATGAACAACAAAAATTTAATATGCAAGCACCAAAAATAATTCGATCATTGTTTAATGGAATGCGACTTAGTGTCTATCGATTTATACAAAATTGTCATAAGGCCATATTAACAGCTACTATCGATGGACAAGAATATGTTACAACTGTATTTAGTAGTGCAACGACAACGACGAAAGGACGTATCCTACACTGTTTAACCGCTCGAGCAATTATCGATGATTATGACAATGGGTTATTGCATGTAGATGAAAGTGAAAATGAACTGATGAAAGTTCAATATAAACAAGATCTCATTGATCTAAGCATCAAACATTCAGTCGTTAGTGCATACACTAGTTTCGTTGCTATCGAAGAACGTGATACTAAAACAGATGCAAAAACTCTTCAATCAGGTTAGTAGAAAGTTAAATAGAATGTAATTAATTGCTATCGATAATCATAAGCATTATTGTTTTATTCTATTAATAGTTCGTTTCGTAAAGTTTTAACTCTTCAAAAACTTTCGAAGAAAAAATTTGATTCTTTTTTACTAATGCCTATTACTATTAAAAAAATAGTCGACAATGTACGTTCTATTATAGGTGTTCGTCTTCTTGATGTTATGCTCGATCGAGATGTTGACTTATTACCGTACATTGGATGGGATGGTGATATATCAACTTTGGATACAATCAAACAGAAATTAATCGAAGCACGTATTACACTCGAAAGTGCATCGATTCAAAGCAAAAAAGAATCCGTAGTTGATATTGAAAAACTTTGTGAAAAAATTTCCTATCGAGCAGGTGGTGATGCGAAATTTGATATGATGATGAGTATCATACGCACATATCGTTATGTATTGAATGAGCATGAAAAAGCAAATGAAATCGAAAATAAAATGCAAAAGGGTACGTTATTCATTAATAAATCAACGTTCATACATATCGATTTTTGAAAAATAAATAGATCTTAAGACTGAAATGATTAGTGCAACGACAGAAGAACGACAAGCATTACAACAACAATGCCAAGCTAACAATTTGATAATCACAAGTGATGAAGAGTATGCAAAAGAAAATGGAGGAAATATTGAGAATAAAAATTTCACCTTTGTTTTTTGTTTGCAGTGAATCATTAGGCGACTTCAATGGTAAGTCAAGTAGTAAGTGGAGACACTTTATTTGCTACCAAGGCAATGAAAAAATTTTAAGCTTTGCTTCCTTTGTCTAATTTTATCTTTGACTTGAAGTTAAAGCCTACTATCTGTATTTGGCAACTGCTTATTTTCGGTAGGACTATTCCAATATTTATCGCAGATTTCGTTATGAGGTAGTAAGGTTTTAAAAAATACTCCGATATGATAGAATAAAGTATTGTTTAGTATGAACATAGGATTGTTCAATGAGTGATTTGACTTTCATGTTGAATTGAAGAATAAATAGGAATTCGTTTTTGGATTGAATAAAAGAGATGTTAACTAGTTCCGATAATCGAATGATGTAAGTCAATTAGAGAGACGATGTTCGATTTCTATCATGAAATTTCAACTTTTGGATTCGACGTATAAATAAAGCAAAGCTGTTAGTGTTATTTTAATCAACATGAACACAGGCAACCATAAAAAAAATTCATAATATATTCGCAAACGGATGTATTAATCTTCGGGTAGAAATCTATCTTAATGTTAAATCATATATGAGAATATGTTTAATTCATTTAGTAGAAATATATTTTATCATTATAGAACGATTGTTTCATTTAAAAAAAAAATCAATGGTTTGAGTATTCATAGTATTATAACTTTTCGAAAAAGATTTATGACTTGATTTAACTACCTCTAACCCAATACATCCATTAATTGAGCAAACAAAAACGATGCGATCATTTTTTCCAAAGGAATGTTGATATTTCATTTTTATAGAATATGCTTGCTACAAACTTCACTTTAAAGGATTAGCAAAAACTCAACGACTGGAAAAGATGAGAAATATAATGGCGTCGGTACGTCAATCTACTGTTCTATGTAGGATTGACAACGAAATCGAATATTTATTTTTTAGTTGGGTGAAGTGCCAAATGCCTCTGACGTACCCTCTACACCATCATCATTATCATCATCAGCATCATCATCATCGTCATCACTAGTACTTGCACCAGTAGTGATAAGTAAAAATAACGTATCAATTACTACACATAACAAAAGTTAAGGGCGTGGGCAGATACAGAAAAACAAAAATTATCATTCATGACCATACCGATGGCGAAAATCTGGTTTCTTTAAGGCTTCTTTCTACTAAATGAAAAGATTTTCGAAACAATCAAGTCGGTTGAACTGATATTTCTATAAATACTCAATATACATATTTGCAAAGAAGACACTACACAACAATCCTTTTTTTTTATAGAAAACAAATGATTTTCGCTCTAGAAAAGAGAAATCGCTTTTGTGACATCTTTAGACATATCACGAATTTGTTTTCATATAAAATAAATATAATATTCGAGATAGAATTTCCAAGAAAAACATTATTGGTGAACCATAGAAAATATATTCGTAAATAAGCAAATCTTGATTGAAATAACGACAAAAATTTGAAGTAATATACCAGGGTCATAGTTGAAATGGAATACAAAAATATCAAGGTTATGGTCATTTTGTCTGAATTTCACTATTGATTTTGGGATATTCATCGAGATATCAAACTGAAAAATTTTGACTTTAGGTTTTGTTCATAGATACACTGGATGTTTCTTTGAACATTCTGCAAGTTTCAGTCGAAATGAACGTTTTTAAATTGACATACTGAATTATCAAAAAGCTAGCGATTCCCTACGAAAGTCAAATTTTATGTCTTGAGAAAGGAACTTTCATTTCGACTTAAAATCTTAAAATATTCTCTGAATATCGTTTTCGACAAAGTTATATTTTTTTACTTTGATTTACGATGCTGACTCAGAAACTTTTGTCTCAAATCTTAAGATAAAATATAAATCAGAAAAGTCAAGTTTTCAGTCACCGTTAAAAAAGTCCTAAATTATATAACAGTCAGTATTCATCTAGATCCGTCAATTCTATTCAACCGTTTAGAAATTGTGAAAATATCTTATGCTGTTTTTCTAAAGTATTATTTCTTTGCATCATCAAAAATAGTATCTCGAAAAAAAAGTGACTGAGCCTCAATATTCTGATTTCATTCAAAAACTTATATTCATACGGTGATGCTTAATTTGAGAATAAGAGTTTGATCTTGTAGTAAAGATGCAAATACTTTTGACACATTTTATTTTTCAAAAAGTCTATAGATTATTTAATTTTACTTCTGGTTTAAATATTCTGTATTTTTTCTTTAAGAGACACGCAGAATGTGTTCGTCTGCAGAAAAATCATATCCCAAGGATGAAGACTATGATATGATAGGTTTCGACTATTTTGATGATGGTATGTCAACAGCTTCCTACTCGGCACCTCGTAAGTTATGCAAGTGTTATGAAGTACGATCTAAAAGAAACGTTGAAGTATATATAGTGGACATTTGGACTCACTGCTTTCGTAATGCGTCTCACGAACATTTAGTAAAAGAAGGATGAAGACATGTATCTCAGGATACATATTGAATGAAATAATCTTCTTTTGATTATTGCGACAATAGCTTTTTCGTTCAAGTTCATATTCGAATATAAAAACGTTTTCTCAAAAAGTCAATCTAGAGAGTATTTAATTATAGAATATTTAATGCCAATGATTGAACCTAAATATATTGATTTCCCTCAGGAACTTGAAACTATGCTTTGGTATTTAATTTGGAAATCAAAAATTTGAATCCTTCTGTAAGGAAACAAATATTCTTGTCACACTTTGTTTTTCACAAAAATCTATAGATTATTTAATTTCACTTCTGTTTTCAATATTCTGTATTTTTCTTTAAGAAAAAATGCTTGCACACGAAGAGCGATCGTCGAAAGTACAGCTGGAATCTGACGATGAAGACGATGATCATGGGTTAGACATATTCGGTGATTATACACCAGCAACTTCATACTCAGCATCTGGTGAGTCATGGAAATTTTATGAAACACGATTTAAAAAGAACGTTGAAGTATTTAAATTAGAAGCTATATCAGAACTTCTTTCTTATTTATATTTGGAGAGGATTATGCAAAATCAGATTGAAGAAGTGTTTTCCAAGTAATGTTATTAGTTGTTTTCTTGAAGAAGATACCTGTATATAAGAACGGCATCTAAAAACAATAGTGATTTATTAAGTACTGAACACTATAGAATCTTTTCATTGATGACTGAACTTCATTCAGGAACTGATAATTAATACTCACTGTAATGTTTAATTTGAGATTCAGAGAGTTCAATGGTTTCATAATCCTTGTTTTTCAAAAAATACATCGTTTAATTGTTTCTACATATAATTTTGATGTTCTATCCTCGAAATGTAGATTTCCTTTTGGAGCAGAAGCCTGCACCAAAAGAGGATTCAATGCAACAACCGTTGAAATTGTTCGAGTCAGAGAATGAAGGCAATGCGATAGATTGGAGCATTTTGGACTGTATGGACGAGTCCTCCTATATCGACTTTAGTAAGTTATACAACTTTTAATATAAGTAGCGAATATTGTAAGAAAAGTTTATTAAACTAACATATTCCGTTTGACAATAATATATATATACAATAGAATTTTATGAGAATATTCCGATAAATACCGAAACCTCTCAAAAATGAATTGTGGAAGCTACTGCGTAGCGTACGAGGGTAATGGGTAAATATTAGACTATCTGTTTCTAAACGACCGTTATACTTATTCAACTAAATTTCCATTTAGATCATTGCCATGTGAGAAAAACCAAGCCTAGGCCAGACGATTGTCTTATAGCTTTGACTGAACGAGACATTTTTACGAAAATGTACGCATAAAACTTTGTCATCACTCAGTATAATCTATTCACTAAATATAGTCTAATATTAAAATTGATTTGTTAGATAACTATGTTCTCTCATCGTTTACAAATTGACATATAA